TTCAATACTTGCAATTAAGAATATATAATTCGTATAACAGTTCTATTTTAATGGCACCCAATAATCAAAATGACATTAATAACAATTTTTTTACTTTTAAAACTTTACGTAAGTGTAGAAAACAAGCAAATTGTGCTGAGTATTGATGTAAAGGCAATTAAATTTGCATTTTTGTTGTTGATAAATCCAAATAAATCCTTCATACAAGTTACCTGATTTGAGTACTAATAATATAATAAAGAAAATTTTATTAAAATTATTTTTGTATATTAAATGACGCAACCATAAATCGGGTTGTGAAATGGAACTATTTGTTAAGGCATTTGTTTGAATGCTGTAATTGTGATGTAGCTTGTCTACCAAAACGAAATTTGCGTCCATTTTGTTTTTTTGGAGTTTGCGGTTCTAGTTCACCGTAATATCGTCAAGTCATTTTGTAAAGTAAGTTTTTAGAAACTAACATTTGTGTTCCTGTGTTTTGACTCTGTTGTATTTATTGTATATGCATTACATTTCAATTTCACCTTTGCGTATTTGCTGTGATAATTTCGGTTGATTTTGCTTGATAAGTTTATTTCTAATTTGTGTGGCAGAACGTTTTATGGGGTCAGTATGCATTAATTAACTGGAAATTATGAATCCCCAGCTGTGTTCTTTTCGAACTCTTTTGTTCATATGGCCTGACCACAAATATTACTCCTTGCTGATTTTCGAAGCAAATTTATTACGCTGAATTGTGTATCATTGTCCAACATTTCTTTTCCTTTTTGCAATGTATGTGTTAATATAGTTCTTTCAAACTGGAACCGAATTTCGCTCCATTCTCTATGCCCCCACGTGGGCCTACCCCACCGTTGACAGGCCATTCACCTGGCGGAAATCCTACATGCCGGATGCAATCTGCCGTCATGACAATGTCTGGAGGCCCTCAACACCCAGGTCATCTCGGACCACCTCCACAACCGCCCCATTCACAGATGCACCCAGGACCTATGATGCTCCAGGTTGGCGGCCCAGGTGGAGGCATTCCTGGCGGTCTTTCAGGAGTTCATTATGCACCGCATGGTCCACTGCCTCCCGGCGGTCATATTCCAGGTGGCTCTGATCGATCAGATCATGGCATGCCTCCGATGCAGCCCGGTCAGCAACAGCAGCTTGGTGCTTCTATGATGCAGCACCATCACGGACCTCCACAAACTGGACCCATTGGTATTCCGTCTATGGGTCCGCATCAGCAAATGCCACCAGGACCTATTCCCCCTCACGGCCATCCGCATCATCTTCACCATCCTGCCCACGGACCTTTATTGTATGTTGTTTAAGTTTTGTGATTTCTCGTGCTTTCGTGCCATGATTCTAAACCCACCTTTATTTCTTAGGTTGTATACACGAGCTATAGTTTTTTGATACTATTTATATTTTCAGGCACCGTAGTGGATTACAGCCTGAATTCCGGATTTATGAACTGAATAAGCGCCTGCAACAACGAGCAGATGTGAGTTTAGGTATATCTCACTCACGTATTTAGGAAAGCGATAGTCAGTGGTGGGAAGCATTCACCACCGATTTTTTTGATGACGATGCAACAATTACAATCACTGTACGTCTGGAGGATGGGCCAAAGCATTTTAGTAAATATGATTGCTTGTTTTACTAATAATCTCACCTTTAGATATTGGCCGAACATTGATCCCGCGTTATTTTCGCAGCATCTTTGAGAGTGGTTGTAGCGAGCTCTACTTTAATCTTCGTCATACTCGAGAGTCTTTCCACAATCCCATATTAACACTTGACTCCGAATGCGCTAATATGGTTATGAATATGATTCGCCCATTCCCCACAACTGTTGTCGTTGAAGCCCAGTTTTCCCTTGGTTTTACTTTGGACGAACTCATGCGTATTCGTACTTGGACGTTTCAAATCCGATCTCATCGGGAGCTTATAATGCGCTCCATGCTAGGGATCCAAGTACGTCAAAGCGTCTCATGACCTTTACTAGTCTCTAACCTTTCCCAGGTTTTTTAACTTCGCCTTCGTATTTTCCTTGTCCATAGGACCCCGCCTTATTCGAGCAAGTATCAAAAAATGTTACCAGGTCAGGCATAATGGCAAACACCCTACATTTTCTTCGGCTGTGTGTAATCCTGGAGCCAATGCAGGAACTCATGTCTCGCCAAAAGTTCCAGAATCTTTCTCCTCGTGAATGTCTTCGGAATACACTCATGCAGCGCTGGAAGCGGATAACTTCAATGCAGAACCAACCAACTAAACCTGGCACGTTTATGCTCATCATTTTCCCCTTTTTTTTACGGTTTCGTCCTCTGTTTCGTAGGACTCGTGGGACTTCTGTCAGCTATAAATAGGCGGCTAAGTTTTAGGAGGCCACTGTCCACTGTGAATTGGATGTTATCCATGTTATCCGTGTCACAAAAAATATGGGGTCGGTACCTTTTTCAAAAGCACCGATGTACCCAACGGTGTGTCTGGTTTAACTCATTTTCCTTTTTTATTTCTGCCAGAGCCTAATCGTCCAACCAATAAACGAAGGAAGCGGAAAGGTTCTTCAGCCAACTCAGAGGCTGGTGGTGGTGGCGTCGGAGGTCGGTCAACAAAGCGCAAACAATCTCCCGTGCCTGTGCCTTCTCAGAGTCTTGCTCAACCCGGCGTAAGTTTACTGATGATCTGTAACTCATTATGCTGCGTGCGTGCGTAATTTTTGTTGCCGTCTTTAATGAAGGCTGTAATATGCGCATGCGCTCAAAATTCGCTAAAATCCATCTTCGGTGGCGGTATAGGTCAATTTGAGAGTTCCGTTCGTATGGATGAATAAATGTAGTGATTTAGCATTTATACGCAGACGACTTGGCTTGTTAAAACCAATAATCTAGTTCGTTCAACAACACTGAAGTGCACTAAATTTGGATTTGCCATAGATGTGTACTCCCTAGGATGTTTGGCATGAGTAGATCTTACTTAGTTAGACTTCAAGTTGAGTATGTGAACTAGGTCGATCTTATTCAAATCGGTATATTTCAGTCATTTTTATGAATGTATCTAAGTACTGGATCCAAAGGTTAGTTTTACTTTTACGTGATTGGTTATGCGGGAGCATTTTTACAGGCATTTTATCTTGAAATTGGCGGCATCTCGTTCGAAAAAGACCTCATTAAGGAACTAAAGTTACGGTCGTCGGTAATATTTCCTAATTGTTCAAATTCATTCACGAAATTTCAAAGTAACTGCAACGTTTTGGATTATTGCAAGCTTTTTGTTCTGCTTGGTACTCGATTTTGCAGCTCCCCTTGTCAAATTGTAGGATATAATGATCGTGGGTGAGCCAACTCTGATGGGTGGCGAATTTGGCGAAGACGATGAGCGACTGATTACACGCCTTGAAAATAGCCAGTACGATCCCGCTGCGGCCGCGGCTGCTCTAGCAGCTCAACAGCAGATGGTTGCAATGGGAGGAGCGCTGGCTCAACATCATCATCCGTCTGCTGCTTCAGGTATTTCTCCTTTTAACCGGCCACCTGCTTTCCCTCCTGCTTTTCCTGGGGGACAGTCACCAATGATGTACGCCCCAGCACCTCCCTACGCTCCTCCACCTACTGCGTCTTCATCATCTCCTTCGATGAAGCCTCACCAGTCGCCGCTGTACGGTCATCCTAACAGCGTACCTCCGCCGCCCCTGCCCTACGTAGGCGGTCCACCTGGAGGATCGATGATGCCTGCGAGTGTTCCGACACCTCATGCACAAGGCGGACGGATCATGTCTCCGATGGGAACTCTTGGCGTGGGCAACCCCTCAACTCCTATTGGACCAGGCGGACCTAATCCAGGTAAGACTAAATAGGACATTCTATTCATGGGACAAGATTTGGTTTTAATATTTGCAAGCTTTCCCAGCTATTCATAATTTGATATGAGAGTAGTCATTTGGTTTTTATCATAAAAACCTCCAGCTAAGGTAACCCTCGTAATCTTTAAATCTCCGAAGCCATAGTGATATCTTATATCTATTCATTCACCCCCTTTTTCGTGTTAAAATCATTCTAGATTAATGGTACCATATTGTGACGCAAACGGTGGTTGACATTAATAGTGGTTTATAATAAGTACCCATAACTATTAACCGCTTGATAGATTCTTCACTTCACCTAATGACAACTATTTTCAAAATGCCGATAAATCTCCTCACCCATTTTGAGGAATTCGAAAATTGACGTAGGATAAATGGACTAGTACTTAACACTAAATCAACTGTAGTGTTTTTTTCAGCTTTGTTGGTACATAAGTTCCGCTTAGTGATTGAAAGGACATTGCAGATAATTGAAGATGAACGGGAGATACTTATGCTACGCTTGTAATGCTAGCTTAAGTTTGAGCTTAAACGTGTCCCGTGCTTATAGTTTATAATCATCTCGTTTTATTCAGCTAACACAGCGATGATGCTCGCCCCTCCACCAAGTCTTGCCGACTCCGAATCCGGTGGGAATGGTGGGATGGGTCAACAGCCGCCGCGTTCGAGTAGTGCCTCCTCTCTGCATACCGGTGGTGGCTCTGCCACTTCGGCACCCGCTTTCCCTCCTCCACCACAACAGTCGGTGCTGGAGGGCGTTACTCCTCCACCGGCTCTCCAACAGCAGCAACAGAATGGCCCTGTTTCCTTCCAAAGCCAGAAGAGCCCTGTCCTCAGTAGCCCCGGTGCCTCTGCTGCAGGGCCTAGTGCACTTCAGTTCCCTCCTCCAATGACCTCGCCTTTTGACCCCACAGTGGGAGGTGGAGGTAGAGCCACAACACCTCGGTTGCAACCACCTAGTTCGTCGACGCAACAGATGTCTGATGGTAAGCGCGTAGTATTACCGACATCAACCGTCGTTTCATGCGTTCTGTCAGCGGCTGTGTTTTTGCCTCCTTCAAAGAAGACATCTGGAAAGTTTCTGCTGCGCTTATGGATTGAATGTGTTCAGCATCCCTATTGTGTATTTGAAATTGTCAGAGTTTATGTGATTGTTCGCTTGGTGATCGGAGTGAGTAACAGCTTGAACACTAACGGACAGACTTGTTGGAAGCGAAAAACAACCAAGCCGATCCCGAACTTTAATTCTTTTGTATAGGTTGTCCTAGACAACAAATATTACGATAATAAGTAGAGTAAATAGTAAAGTTTAAACTCTAAATGTATATAAAAAAAACAGAGAAACATTGTTAGGGGCGGATTTGGGTAGTAGTCCAACGAAACCAGCGCAGTAACACAAAGACTGAATCAAGACTAACATTTAAGTATTACGGTCGGTCACTTTCAGACAAAGGACTCAAAATTTCAAGCATTTTTCACTGTCTGATCGTAATTATCAAGGCTAGAGCCGCTAATTGACAATTCAATGGTCATTGTTTCAAGTCTCTTATTCTGAATGTAATTGATGATGCGTGATTTCGTTGTTCGTTCGTTCGTTCGTTACTGCAAGAATGCTAAAGCCACGACTAATGAGTTCTGATTTGGAATTTCTGATCACGCCCATCGACAAAGTCTACGTGAAATCACTTACTCCTTCATGCCAGGTTCCGGTCCCGGGTCGATCGGTCATCCGGATGGTCGATCTGAGACGCCCAATCCAAACGGTTTCACGGGTGGCAGCGTTCCCCCTCTTGGTGACGCCGTGCTGCAGCAGTCTGTCCATGTTCCCTCTTCAAATACTGCCCCCGTTCCTTTGGCATCCACGATCACCTCTCAGCCGGCCTCTAACGGGTCTGGGGCCTTTGCCTCTACGCTTTCCTGTCAAGGTTAGTTGCTTCGCCGAGGTTGTATGTTTTCTCAAAACCCCGATGGTTGCTTCCGGTTGACTGACTCAGTGAAAACGACTGCTAAATCCGGAATACTTCTGAGGCGCTTGCTCCTTACGCTGAAACAGTGACAATGCTTGGGTCATGGTTCATGTAAAGCAGTTTTACTCTTTTAATGTTGTCACAGAACGGTTTCGCCAGTTTTGCTCGAGTAATGCGTGTAGTATTTCAGACCAGTCGCTGTCAGAGTTCGTTTTAACACAGATTGTAAAATGGAGTAAAGCTCCCTTGCGTGTAGGTCCGGTGTAATTCGTCAGGCTTCAAAACAAGACAAGCGTCAGTTAAATTAGGCAAAGCTGATAGGTGCCATCGAATCACCAAGTGTTCTTGATGTTTTACCCTGCCTTAAATTCCAGCGGTCAACGTGTACATACTTTCGCAAGGGAGCAGTCATTCAATTGGTTCTTGGGAATTCGGCCAAAATGTAATCTTCATAGCGCAAATTAAGCAGTCTAATCACTGTTTGTATTTTTTTATTCCATGTGAAAAGTGTCGTAATAATCAATTGAATGCCGTAACTTCATGAGTTGACCAACTATCTATTATTCTTTTCCAAAAATCCATGGCTTTTGAAACTTAGTGTTTTAACCTGAATAACTGTTGATACTGTCAATATGATACTTATTTTGATCTGCGTTAATCCGTTCTATTTGGTGGATCACCGTGAGTGATTCTTTTCGTTTTTCTATGCGTGTGCTTTTAATCGTGTCTTATTTGGGGTACTGAAGAATGTTTTCACGAATTTCCGCTGCTCGATTACACGATTTGAGAAACTACATTTAACTAAGATGTGGTCGCAACAGATCCGCTCGCCGTGGCATTTTATATGTGATGACGCTAATATTTTTCCATTCGTTTTATGAACACACTGCATTATGCAACTGCGCGCGCGTGTGCGCTTACACATCGCCCATTTTGTAACTCTAACCTTATCCTATTCAAAAGGTGATGCGGCCCTCTCAACATTGCCGGTTCAAAATTGCGGTTCCTGTCAATAGACTGCGGGGTGTGCCTGTTCTCTGTCTTCTTGCCACGTACTACCACTATTATTTTGGTAGGATGTGAATGCGCGTTTGCTCGGAGCATTTTTGTTTACTTGAGCTTGCCTCGCTCTGCAATGCCCTGTACTTTATTTGTTGTGTTGCTGCTTTTTTTCTGCTGCTCGGCGCCAGTTGATCTGCCTTCGTTCCAATTCCTTGTTTGCGTACTCGCGTGCGTTCGTGCCTACTCCAAAGCTTGTGTCACTTCTCATCTAAGCGGTTTGCAATAGTCAATTTCATTGATTGGACAGTGTCATCCATGTAAAACTAAGGCATGAAGAACCCAGTGCTTTTGTGGTGCTAGCAGGGAATCACGCCCCGCAGTTCACAGCGGAATGTTCTTTTGTGACGTTAACCCTCTAAGCTCTTTCGCTTGTCATCATTCACATATATATGGTGCCAGTCGCAATTGCGTTTCTTCACAAAACTCCTTTGATCGTCAACTTAACTGCTCTCTGTGGAGGAACTGCAGCCATGCCATAACTCAGTACGGGGGTATTTTCTCCCCAATCTTAACCGCCGTAATTGTCCGCTAGACAGGTGTGCTGCGTATAATTGCGTTTTCGGTTAGTCACCGGTGGCAAATCATTCCCCAGGTGGTGCGTCACCCATGTGCCGACAAAATGGGACAGATGCTGTTCTTTACTCACAAAATCTCTTAACAAGTCCTAGACTACTCCCCTCTTATTCGCCATCTTAATTTTCTGACGTCTTGGGATCCTAGTGCACATGAGTCTGGTTCCCATTAGCAAATTGGACAAGATATACTGGAACCCCCGTAAAGCAATGCTGTCTTGTTCGTGTGGACAACTTTTATGGTGCTTAAATAAAGTTGATTATGGGATTAAATTGGATTTGAGGCATATCTGTTCTACTCTACATAAGAATATCCCTTTCTTAACTTGCCTCAACTATCATTTATTGACTTTGATGTCAGTGATGCTTCCAGCAATTCACATGTTTTATTCTTGAGTGTACCTAGACCATCCCACTGACTCTATCATTTGCCACAAGGCTTTTTTGCGAGGTCAAAAATGGCGTAAGCATGCGAAGTTGTTCTTGGCCATAACTCTTACCTACCAGTTTCGCTTTGGCATGGTTTTAGTTAGTGCATGCTCCAACCATTCATTTTCATATTGATTTATTCGGGTCACTTTGTTAATATATTGTAGATCCCATTTCAAACTATGCTTTTCCACCGCTAGAAGAAGAAAACAAATTCCCTAGAAACCTTGATGGGTCTGCGCCACCCAATGTCTTGCCCAATCATGACGCCAGTGATCAGGTGGAACAGGGTCAGACTCCCCTAGACTACCTTCTTCTTCCAGTTTCCTCAGCGCCATCCGTGGTGTCAGGGAAGCTTCCGGAGTTAACAATGGAAGTGCATGAAGGTGGAGACACCACATCTTTTGTTGCGACGACAGATTCGTGATCCAATCAATCCTTTTTTGTACAGCCTTGACAATCACATTGGTTCCCTTTTCTCTTTGTTCCTTGCCTACGTTCCCACACAACTGTACCTTCCTCGCCTTCACACCACATTTTGTAAGCCAATTATGCCTGATGCGACTTTGGACGACGCAACTGCTAAAACAATCATCGTCGTTTATGTACAGATAATTACACCATTTCTGATGTTGAGGGATGGATATTAACGCACTTACTCTATGTATCTGTAAACGTATTAAATTTAAGCCTGTAAGACGCTTTGTTACGTGTGACGGATCCTTGTTAATCGCGTGGCTTAGCGATAAAATGCTGCTTGAAACCACTCCTAGACATACATCGGGGCTCAAAATTAAAGTAGACTTACACAACTCCATCAATGGGTTGTATCCTTTCTGGTAGTCTAATTTATATGAGATGGGATTGCTGTGTACGTTGTTTCTTTAAGTTTATGGCCATTTGAAACTACACAAATTGGAATCGGTTACGCAAAAGTACAGGCGCGAAGCCTGTCATGATTACAATGTTCGACAGGGTGGCGTTCGGGTCGCGTACCTGGTTACATGTAGTACTATTTCCGCGCGTGCATCGTGTAACTTAATATATAACATGTCAGCTCGTGTGAGTACCTCGGCTTGCACTTCTTTCACCAGCGCTACTGTTAATGGGTAGATTTCTAACTGTGAGGAACGGTTTGTTTCAAATTAGACGTAAGCATTTACCGTAAAAAAGCATGCCTCATATCGGTTAGTCTGACGTTTACATGGTAAGGGCACTCTAGATATGTCGGGCCAATGTCGCTGCCAAGACAAAGTTACGTGAATCCTTTAACCCCCGTATTAGAGGTGGCTTGGGAGTTTTGACCTCAATGATTAAAAGTCGGAATCGACAACAAAGTTTACCTCTAACCAATAATATCCTAAAATGTGGGCAATTTCAGTGAACCAATGTCAAGCTCTGATGATTGCAAGCAGGACTCGCTGTGTCCGTGCAATGCCGGTCATGTCGCTAAAAGTGAACTGACTAGACTCCCGGTCTCAATCATCCATGTCTGTCTGCTTCAATTTGGGGAAACTTGAAGTACTACCTGTTCTAGATGCCAGGGAGAACCTCAGTGGATATAAACTCCGACAAAAGTAGTGTGCACAACGAGTTTTCTTGGCATCTGAAAACTGCTGGTTGGGTAGTTATTTTGAATTGCTCTATTCGCGCAGACCAAGGGTTTTATCCCCCTGTCGAATTTATGTCTCACTCTGAAAACTCAAGAAACCAGCTCCACTAACCGGATATTAGTTATGAATCTAATCGCTCTGACGCCAACACACTTTATGAGTACAGCGTAGGACGCAACTTACTAAAATGACTGCTGTGTTTACAAAAAGACCTGTTTTATTGGGTGAACAAATAGCGCAAGTTCAGACTGTTTGATGGATCCTTTTGTTAGATCCAAATTTCTGAATGGCATCTGGCTCTCATACAACCTCCCATACTTTCCGCATCAATTCAAACTCAACTATTTCAGAAAATACGTATTCAAGAACAAACAGTATGCCTACAGGCCATCACAGCAATTAATCCTTCCTCATACAGACTTAGGGCGAACGGTCCTTTTTTACATTCGAGTTACAAACCAAGTGAGGTTGTACGTTTACGTTCGACCGTCACCAGTATGGATTTTCTAGAAAAGGATGCATTGCCCAAGCGAACCGACGCTCTCACTGAGAGAGCTCAAGCAAGGGAAAATCTCGAACTTTGAATTCAAAAGGCAACCAAATTTAAGTCATCTTGCTTTAGAGAATGTTGCGTTCCTTTTCATCAAGGTGTCGGTGTTATCTCGTGCACATGTAACTCATTCAACAGAATAATTTTTAGTGGCAAAAGTCTGAAGAAGGTTTGTCGGTAATCAATACAGATGTGGGAAATTGTTTGAGCATTTAGTCTCCCTAGAGGTGCGTGAAATGAGTGCATTGCATAACATTCGGCACAAACATCAACGGCTGATTGAATCGGCATTAAAATTCCATCGCAACCTACTTGGCCTTATTAAAACTTACATTAAAGATCTGCGGAGATGTAAGTAAATCTCATATACTGGCCATTTTCTTTTTTTAAACCTACGGAATACGAGACCCAAGAAGATAGCGAAATAACCACGAAAAGTTGAATGCAACCGCTTTTTCGATAGGATGAACAGTTCTTTTTATGCAAAAATGAACGTCAGCATATTCGGAAATGTGCGTGGCTAACAGTCAATGAATAAATTTCTGCACATAAGAAGTGAACCAGAAATAAATTAATCAGAGAAGCATTCGCGAACTTTTTTGACTGCTAGTCGCCAAACAACGTGATCTTCCTTCACTCAGCAAAAATGTTACCAAGATCTCAAGACCCCGAATAAATAAGTAATTCAAAGATTGTGCCAGACAGGTGAAAAGAGAGGATAGGCTTGTAATAAGCACATGTTATTTAAAACGCATGTAAAGGGTGATGCGTTTTTTGGTCAATACTGAAGTGAATGAGATCGTAATGACAAACCGTGTCTGTGGACGTATATTCGGGGGAAATTAGGGCAAGTTACATTTTAATAAACACAGTATTTCTCTGAATTAACAATGACCGCAAGTATGATGCTCATAGTGGTGATAAAGTGCGGGTTTTTCTCGTGGGGGCATAAAAAACAGTCATTGGAAGGCCCAGTTTCTAAGAAAAATTTAGAAATTACACTCAAAATCGGTTGGTTTGGTGACGTAGCTGCTTCGGATAATTTATAAATGGATATTTAGAACAGCTAACAATATAAGTTACATCAAAACAAGCGGTAAAAAGAAGACAAACTTTAACTTGCAGACACAAATGCAGCTGGAGGAAATCCGTTACTGCCTCCACAGACTTTATGGTGCTTGCTATCCTGGTGGAGGCCGACATCATCGAACCACCACCGCAGTGGCATCTGCTTAAGGGCACTGAATAAGG